TTCGACATCGCAACTTCCAAAAGTGGTCCGAGAATGGTATGCTTTGTACATTTTGACTTGGAAACGTGCTTTGCGCCACAACGGCGTGCAATTTTTCATCTCTCATCTGGCCAGATGGCTTCGCACCCGCCGCTTTAGCGAGCCTACTTTTCGATCTTCTCTGATCTTCTCTCTTCTGTTCTTCTCTTCTCTCTGACTCTTCCCATCTCTGCTTTTCGTCTGTCCATATTCTCGGAAGTTTGACTTCTAAACTTCCTTCGATCATGTTCCCAGTGCATTTCCTGACTGTGGCTACCTTCATGGCGTGTTTTGGATACTAAATAGAGTATATACCCCAAAATAGGATGGTTTGGGCGAGTTGATCAGTTTGACCCTGCTGTCCTTGGCCGTCGCACGCTACTTAATGCTGGGGTGTAAATTCGTGCCAAGGTCCCAGAAGCTTTCGATTGTAATAGGTGCTCAATCTGGGCCTAAAAATAGGTAACCCCAGTCCACCCACTGGTTCATCATCATTTTTTTACCCGTTCAAACTGCTATTGTCAGGCTATATACCTCATTTTCAGACACACCCATGTGGGCACAAAATTACCGCTGATCCTGGGCTTCTCGGCTGGTGTGGCAGGAGCTCTGCCACCTTCCAAAGCTGCGGGGTGCTGGGCTGATCATGCGCATCTTGTAGCTTGGCATGTCTCGACGGTTTATATATCTATATTTTTAAATATATATATATCACGTACACATATATGTGATGTTGTTTATCTGTGTTTGTAACCACTTATGTACATCTATCTATCTATCTATCTATCTATCTATCTATCTATCTATCTATCTCATCTCATCTCATCTCATCTCATCTCATCTATCTATCTATCTATCTATCTATCTCTACCTATCTATCTACCTATCTATCTATCTATCTATCTTTCTTTCTTTCTATCTATCCATCAATCGACCTATCTATTCATCCAACTATCTATCGATCTATCTATCTATTCATTCATCTACCTAGCTATATCTATCTATCTATCTATCTACCTATCTATCTAATCTGATCTCATCTGATCTAATCTGATCTAATCTGAACTAATCTAATCTAATCTATCTATCTAATCTATCTATCTAATCTATCTACTCTATCTAATCCAACCTAACCTAATCTAATCTAATATACCTAATCTAATCTAATCTCATCTATCTATCTAATCTACCTAGTCTATCTAATCGATTGATTCTATCTATTCTATATTCTATTCTATTCTATTCTATTCTAATCTATTCTATTCTATTCTATTCTATTCTATCTATCTATCTATCTACCTCTCTATCTTTCTATCTGTCTATCTATCTCTATGTATTTCTACCTTTAGCTATCTTTATCTATATCTATCTATATCTATCTATATCTATCTCTATCTATCTCTATCTACCTCCTACCTACCTCTATCTACCTCTATCTACCTATCTACCTATCTACCTTTCTGCCTATCTGCCTATCTACCTATCTACCTATGTACCTATCTACCTATCTACCTTTCTATCTATCTGTCGCTCTATCTATCTATCTCTCTATCTCTCTATCTCTCTATCTCTCTATCTCTCTATCTATCTATCTATCTATCTATCTATCTATCTATCATCTATCTTTCTTTCTTTCTTTCTATCCATCTATCTATCTATCTAATCTAATCTAATCTAATCTAATCTCATCTCATCTCATCTCATCTCATCTCATCTATCTATCTATCTATCTATCTCTCTCTCTGTAAATTTGAATATATACATGTAATGGCCCAAATTTTCATGAATGGCACCCCAATGTTTTGAATCGGGTTTGACCCCGACCTTGAGATTTCTGCAGCACAAAGGTGAATGACCCCAGATCCTGTCAGCACGGCTCTTTCCGGAACCCAGGGAAAACATAGGACGCAGTGTGGGCTGCCAAGCATGGCCCATGGAGCTTGCTGGGTTGCCAGCAGCCGGTGGCTTCAGCGCTGGAGACTGCAGCCTGTCGCACATAAGTTTCGCTTGGATTCGACATATTTGGATGATCATTTTCCAATTCAGGTTCCAAAGCCGCCCACATTTTAAAAAAAAACGAAAAAAGAAAACTCCAAACACTCCATGTCAGTTTGTGGCGGGGATAACAACAGCGCCCGCGCACTGGAAACATCAATCAGGTGCATGCCAGGACTGCTGTACAGATCCTGAAGACACCACTTGGAGGAGTTTCCAAACCAGGACTCAGCAACTTCTAGCCCTTTGCAAAATCAAAACAGGGTTGCGCCAGGCACTGGCGCACGACTTTCTGGACGAGCGCATCCAACAATTTCTTTCTTTCTGGGAAAGCACTCATTAGAAGTCCGTTGGCGGGAGGAGAGGGTACCAGAAAGCATCTGATGTTGTATGATTTGATGATTATTCGGTCAGAAAAACCTGTTGTTCTTCGTGCTCATTGAAGTGTGCATGTCACTGTCATCAGGACCATTTCTGTTTTTCCCATTGTTCGGTAGTAGTGCTTTACATGTTCTTTGCTCTTGCTTGGCCATGGAGGCTCAAATCTTGACTTATGGAAAATCCTTTTTGCATTCAAGCTAGAGCTCTGGCTACCAATCTTATTTGGCCGAAGCCTTGTTGAACCGCCAGATTTGCAGCGCATGTTTCAGGCCCGATGCCAAAAAAAAGATTGTTTTGCACCCTTCAGGCTGCTCAGGAAATACTACTATTTGGTGGTTCAGTGGTTCACCCCAACTAGTAAGTGGGTTAGTTCACCCTAGAACTAGACTAAGCACGTTGCCGTGTTTCTGGTGCGTTGCTGTGCTCTTGTTCTGCATTGTTGTGTCTTGTTGTGTGCGTCACTGTGGTGTTGAGGTGTGTTCAGATCACCTCAGTGTTGAGTTGCAACAGGGAATGATCCGCCGGGCCATGAGGGGCCTCTATGCGCCGTGTATGGCCAAAGGGTTACAACACCTCATCGCTTCAAATCCCAAAAAAAACTTTTTGTGCCTAGTGAAAGCAGAAAAAGCGCATCACTTTTTCAGGATCCCATAGCGGAAAGACCAGTGTGGTGAGGTCAGTGGAAAGCATAGCTCAAATGCCATCGATCCCCCAACAATACGAGTACGGGTGGTAACTTACGCACAACCTGTAATCTTACCCACCGCATGGCACACAGCTTACCCCACAACCTAAAGAACTTGTGCCATAGCCAAATCACCACGGCACACCGCCACCTATCCATATATGTGCACATTGTTTTCATGAAATTCCTATGCAGACTGCAACGCTTTGTACCGTTTTTTATCTGTCTTTCCTATACTCACAAAACGCTTTTCCCAGTGGCACACCAGGAACATTCCAGCACTGAACAACACAGCACACTGAGATATTCAAGGTACCGCTTGACAGCGTGATTTTTACGAGATCCGTACGAGGTCTTTACGAGATCTGTACAAGATCGGGATTTTGCAAGGCAAGGCAGGGCAAGGCAGCAGGGATCTTTTCTACTCTTCCCTTCTCTGCTCTACGCCTCTCTAATCACTTCTACTCTTCAATATCTTCAATTCGATTCTCTTCTCGACTCTACTCTTCTACTCTTCTGCTCTACTCTTCTACTGTTCTCTCTTCTGTGTGAGTCAAGCTATTGAGAAGCCATCCCCATGAGTTTCTATCTCAAAAACATGTGTGCCCATGCAAAGTGTTAGAAAAATCAATGCCACAAACAATTGATTCATCCAGTAAGAATTATATGTATATTATATATTGGTCAAAGGATATACCCTCTGGTAAACAAGCATGGCTGGAAAGTTTGAAAAAAAAGTGAGGTGACTTTTGCCAAAAAAAATGCCCATTTCAGGAGATATCCTGTTGCCATATTTGCTTGCCGGAGGCTGCTGATGTGATCATGGCCACATCGTAGCCACATCGGTCATTGCTTTAGGATCTGAAACCATCGGAATCTGGGGCCATTCGTTTTTTTTTTGCTGACCCTGCCACTACCTGGAGAATCATTCTGGTGAGTAACTAGTAAACAGTCCTATAGATCACTGGTGGCGAGGGGAAACTACTGTAATCATGCCTCCCATCGCTGGATTGCAGAAAACCGTCACACTGCGGAAAAAAGAAACATTTCTGGTGATGACACCTGGCTGGCCGGAATTTCCACCCAAAAGTTCGAAGATTTTCCAGCTATAAACCTCTCCTTTGAGTTCGTGGGATTTCTACCCCGCCATGTGACAGAAACACATCGTATATTCCATCATTATCCCACCATGATCCCATTATCCCATCATGTCCCGATAGCCATAACAAGAAAAATCACCTAGATAATATCGAATTCTATCCCCAGAAAACACCTTTTTTGGGGAAAATGATATCCCCCATATATCCCCATAACCCCATTAGAGCCACATGTTTGTTGGTGAAATCCCATGAAAAAAGACCTGGTTGGATCAACCAACTTTCAGACACTGCCATTTATCACAAGTTGTGGGTTGCATCTATGAATATATACATTTCTTTATACCCTCTGGTAAATTAACATAGACCCTGAAAATAGCCTAGTTTTAATGGAAACTAATCTTCCAACCCCTATCTGCCAGGGTCTATGTTAATTTACCAGAGGGTATGTCCAATATGATATCATGTTCCCATCAAATCCCCATTATCATTTATCCATATCATATCCCCATGAAATCACCGTAGGTTTATGGCTATACCACATATAACCATCAAACCCCAGCGTCACTCGTCCATGGGTTAAATCCTTTATTTTTACAGAAGTTTCATCTGTCATCAACCATTTCACTAGTTGCCAACTATCTCCCCCTATATCCCTATTTAATCTCCATGTATTACAAGTTGTGTTGCCTAAATCCCGTGAAATACCCTATACAATCATTGAAATAAAATAGGGACAGCCAACAAAACTTGTAATACATGGCTTTTCTTGGTATCCCCAAACTTTCATCAGAAATACCACTTTTTTGGTTCCCATCGAACGCCTCGGCTTGGAGCAGCTTGCCGCTTTCACCTGGACGGCTGGCTGTGACAACCGGCCAGTGATTTCGCCGATTCAACCATCGATTAGATGAGAGTTGCAGATAAAAATCCACTGTTTACCATTGAAAATGGTAACTTCACAATCCAATGGTTGTGGGATTCAGCGCCAAACATTGTGACACTTGGCTTAAAAAAGCCCTAATTGATGTGTATAACAATGATATCAATGATGATTTTACACCTATATAATCAAGATCGTTTACCCCTACAATTATGGTAAAATATATCCATTTCGTTCACTTGAACTGCACCCCCGAGAGTGGACCACAAATGTCGAGGCTGTCTTGAAGAATCCGGGGAATGTGGGTGAAAATAGGTCAATGGTTGGATCCTCCCCATAAGTATTGCTTCGAAATCCGTCGAGGGATTGAAAGATTTGGCCCCATTTCTTACCAATACTTGTGAGAAAATTGATATCGTGGGCCGTAACCAAGAATATGATATTTGATGTGTTCAGAAATGAGGGGATGATACCCCAATATAATGTGAAGAAATGTGGAACATTATGGTCTAAACCTAGCGGCATTTGGGGGGTGTCCTAATTTTTGAACCAATACATTTTGCTGGATCCATTCCCATTTTCGGTGTTCGTGTTCGCAACATTGTTTGCTGCCCTCTGGCAATTCAACAGAGCTGGACAATCACCAGGTTTAAGAGGTATATCTTTCCTGTTTTCTGTGAGCTTTTCCATAGCTCTGTGAGCAGTGTTTAAAACCATAAGTGTCGTCCCTTTGCACTAGTTGGTGTATAGGATGTCCCATTTGAAGGATGGTCATAATCCCCAATCTATTGGATACTATAACTCCATACAATCATCAACCAACAAGGGTTTTGAACGCTGCTCATGTGGAAAATTACTGGAGGCTACATATGTTGCGTAGCCGAACACCCAACGATCCATCTGCACCAGCACTTTGCTCTATGATAAACTCTGGGGTTTTGAGCGTGGTTTATGTAGAAAACTTCGGAAGGCGTCTTCCAGAGCCCGAGTCGAAAAAGAGCTGCCACAGCGGCTACTTTTTTTTTGCAATGTTCAAATCCAAAACCCAGGAAGAGTGGGCATATTCTGGAAATATATTGGAAGTAGACTAGGAATCTCATACTTGATATCAACTGGGATATATATATATATATAGTAGGGATATCAACTGGGATGTAAGGAATATAACCAAGAACATGAGGATATTCCTGGGGGTACCCACCCTGTCATTCCATGAAGTGGTTGTTAAGAACGGGATTCCCAGTATTGGGATGCCGATGTTCCCCAACCTCCGAAACATGATAACACGAGCTTAACAACAAACCTTAGCATCATAAATGTTGGAATATTACCCTGAGGAAAACTGCTCCAAACAGACCCAGAAAACCCATAATCGGAGAATTACCCAACCTTTTATGGTGGCTGTTCCACATCTTTTTGATTTTTTTGTACGTTTACGGGCGACTAATGCGTGTAATCATCCAGCTATGGTGTCATAATATGATCCAACCCGCTGGGCCATGAAGATCCAGAGAAGCCGGTGAAACCGGTGGCCTGTGCCCGTTCACTTCCCACTGAATGTAGTAAACCAAAAAAGAACATCATTTTCTGAAAAAAAAAATCACCATGTCGCGCAATTTTTTTCAAACCACAGCACAAAAGAAAGTTTGGGTTTTGCCCCATTCTCCCTATGGTTTTTGGCAAAAAAACAGAACATCCAACGGCTCCACCGGAGCCTTGCTCTGTCAAGACCGTGGCCAAGCCAAACATCGTGGCGTAATTCACCTGCGAATTATGCCACAGGATGATGGTACGGTAGTAAAGAATGATGGGGTGATAAACAATCATCTATAAATATGGAATTACCTAGTTATAATTTAATAAAAAAAAACAAACAAATCAATGATCATGATGGTGATGATCATCAACATCATCATGATCATGGTGAACATGATGATCATGAAGCTGATGAACCTGATGAACATGATGAACATAGATATTTGATGAGAGTAATAAACACAATGATAGTAATGGACACTTGGTGCTTTACCCGGGAATCGTATGGGGGCTGCCCAGTTGGAAGTGGGTGAGTCGAGGACGAGACGTGTCATTGATACCAAAAAAAAAGAAGACTAGGGCATTTTGCCCTTGAAAGCATGTGGGGATGAATATGTAAATGATAATCATCATCTTATGGGATAATTATACTGTAATGGCATGGGATGTGTATATATATATATATACACCACCAACACTATGATGTGTCGGGTTTCGCAAAAAGTTGGGATATTGACAAGTGAAAATGGATGTTAACCGCTAAGCAGCAAGTATGGGGAGTGGCTTGGATGTCAAAAAATGGGGCACCCCGAGAATCCATTGGAATTGCGGGAGCATAACCCCAAAATCACCACAACTTTCTACCCCTGGTCGTCATCTTGGCACCAGGCGAATCACATCCTGCTAGCAGAAGACCCCATGACATACAGAACTATCCAGAGCAGTTGGCAGGGTCATGCCTTCCAGGCTTTGGTTAAACCCACTACCAAATGTCAAGGTCTGAAGAGAGTTTGGCAGGTTCACTCCTTCCAGACTCCGATTGAAACGTTCTCCAAATGTCAAGGTCTGAAGAGAGTTTGGCAGGTTCACTCCTTCCAGACTCCTTCCAGACTCCGATTGAAACATTCGCCGAATGTCAAGGTCTGAAGACTGCTTGGCAGGGTCACTCCTTCCAGACTCTGATTGAAACGTGCGAGAAAGTCAAGGTCTGAAGACTGCTTGGCAGCGTGACTCCTCCCAAGCTCTAGTTGAAGATGTAGCCAAATGTCAAGGTCTGAAGTCTGAAGAGAGTTTGGCAGGTTCACTCCTTCCAGACTCTGATTGAATTTTCGCCAAATGTCAAGGTCTGAAGAGTTTGGCAGGTTCACTCCTTGGAGGCTCTGTTTGGACAGATTGCCGAAAGTCAAGGTCTGAAGACTGCTTGGCATGGTCACTCCTCCCAAACTGTGGTTGGCGTTCTGGCCAGATATCAATGTCTGAAGACTGCTTGGCAGGTTCACTCCTTCCAGACTCTGATTGTCACGTTCGCCAAATGTCAAGGTCACTCCTTTCAGGCTCTGGTTGAAATATTCACTGAATGTCAGGGTCTGAAGACTGTTTGGCAGGGTCACTCCTGTGAAGCTCTTGTTAAACTGGCTGCCAAATGTCAAAGTCTGAAGGCTGCATGGCAGTGTCACTCGTTTCAGGCTCATGTCAAACATATCAAGTGTTGAAGGCTTTGTGGTAATTTTTTCAAATACGTCATGGTTGTTGCACCTACTATCCAGGCCACTCCCTCCAATGCAAGCTCGACTGGTTGACCTTGTACAGCAGGTCATGCAACACAGAAATCCGTTGGAAGATAAGTGCAAGAGAGTGTTGCAGCACTCACCATGCCTTGCTCCCGCAATGCTTTGTGCAGTATCAGATCCCTCCCCCTGGGTCCAATTTGTTGCGACCCTACCAAAGGTCAACCCATATCAAATGGGATCATCATGCACCGATCTGGGTAATTGACACATCTGGATAATAAGCCATCATTTGGTGACATCATTCAGCTTGCTTAAATCCTGAATATTCCCAGTCATGTTGGCTGGTGAAAACCCCATGTTGTGGGTTCAATGGGAGAAAAATCTCGCGAATCCTCTAATTCATCTACCTAGACTCTCAATTTACGCATCTTACCAAAATAATATGCGAACCAGCCACCAGGGGATCCTTTTGTTCAACTACATCCAGGATGATCTGAACATGTCTGAACACCCCCAAAATATGTGTATAATATACATATATATATATATTATATATAATTATATATATACATATGTATATTATACATACACATATGATATTTCACATATTATAAATATATATATATATGTATTTGATAATCCAATGCATGCATTCATTATATGTGTGCACACACATATGTCATAATCACCTTGGAGTAAACCTGTCAAAATCACAGCAAAATCGGAACAGCGATCCAAACGAATAGATCTATCTACTTCAGAATGACTAATATATATATATATTATATAATATATATATATACATATCACATGATATTCTTATATTGCATCTTATCCAGTTGATCTTAAGCTGCTGGATCTTTCTTGACCCAGTGCCACAAAGACCCCGCTCGGCGCCTTGTTGGCTTTCTTTTGCAGTTCCCAGGCTTGGAGGAATTTCTCCTCAGCTTCCTGATATCTGCCTCTCAGCTTGAGCTGCGGATCACCCAAGGTAATAGGATTGTGGGGTGGTCTCGAACATCTGCTAGGCCCTGCTAGGCTAGGGCCAGGGCCCTTCGGGCCCTTCGACTTGCTCAAGTTGTTGCACGTTGTTTGGTGAAACCAAGCACGCCTTAGACAGTTTGGATACCTGGATAACTTGGGAATCTACCTCTCAACAAGGAACTTCCAGTGAGATACAAACACAAGGGGACAACGTCGCTGTCTCCATCCCCATGTCATGTTTGATGGCTTGGAATCCCATCTTTGACCCCATTAATATGGCCGACCCAGTAAACCAGCTTCAATCCCACCCATAAAAACCACGTTTTTTTGGGGGGGGATGGTGCAGATGGCATTGGTTTTACCACGTTATGTAGATAATTCCCATGATTCTCCATTTAATCCCATCAAAATCCCTATTGATTGCCATTATATAGTCTTTATTTTGCCATAAAATCCCGTTTGTTTATCCTCAACCATGTTTTCTTCCCATTCAAAATGACGGTCCATGACCTTCTTCTGTCAAGGCCACGCCCAAGTTGTGCAGAACTACAGCGTCGTTGGGGTTCTCCTGGCGAAACCCAGTGGACGGAACGGAGCTTCCCATTCCCATGTGTTCGATTGAAAATGGTGAAAATAGAAGCCCAGAAAAATGTAAAATCCTCCAGGAAATAGATGATTTTTATGCTTTAACGTGTTTTCATCATCAATCTCATCTTTTATAGCCTGAATATTACGGGACAGGGGCTTTTGCCATCAAAGATCAGGTTTTTTCGGATTTAACCATCACAAAGATCTCTCCCATGGGGACACAGGATGTGGGGCTCAATCCAGAACCAAAAGGGATCATTGATCCAAACTCCATGGTTTTCCGCGAGTTTCTGCCAGTCGCAAAAAATGCAACCGCGTTTTGATATGGGATCCATCACCCATTTTTCAAGAAAAAAATGAGCCTTCCCAAATCCCATGAAGTTTTCAGGTTCAAAAACTTATCAGCACAGGTATCTGTCAAATGTTCGCTTGGCTTCAAACTCTATGGATTTGTTGGACCTGCTTTTGTTGGCGGTGAATTCTCAAGTTCCTTGTAGTTCTGGTAGTTCACCCTCCTCACATCCACGAAATTTGGTCCCAAAAAAAACGACGATTCTTCGATGATTCAGTGATTCCATGATGTTCGTGTCCAAAATCAATCAATCACCCAATCAAAAACTGAGAGATGATTCTCCTTTCAGGAATCATTCATAGAATCATAGAAAAAATTGGACGATTTATGATTTATATATATCCAAAATATCCAGTGATAATCATCTAAATATCATCATCATCATCATCGATAATCATAATCAGTATTCCAGTAATGGTATCCAATGATTTGATTCATCATAATTGATCATCATAATAAGCATAATAATCCCAATAATCCCAAAATAATGAGAAAAAAAAACATGGATAATTTCCCAAAATCATGGAAAATCCATGAAAATCATGTGATTCCAATCATGGAAATGATCCATTTTGGTTTCCATGATTTTCCCAATCCCAATAATCCCATAAATTAATGCCATATATATTCACAAAACAGTTGATCATTAAGGGAATGAAGGCCATGGCTGGGGATGATTTCCCTATCAAAACCATACGATTTACCCAGTGATTGGTGGCCATGGGGACCGCCTTCAGCATCTTCATGAGCTCTTTCCTGGCGGCCTCAAAATGCCCACCTGGCGCCGGGCGCCGGTTCGACGGGTGAAAATCGACCGTTTTAAAGGCAACAAGGCCAAAAAAAAAATCTGGGGTTGGTGTGCAAAGGACCGGAAAAAAAATAAATGGGACGTTTTGATGTTTTCCGATGTTGTGGATGTAAGTTTTTTAGCGACTAGAATCACTTGAATGGAGAGATCTCAGCAATGAAACTCATTGGGGGGCAGCGGTCCAAAACACTTCAGCAAGCATTCAACAATCTTTCAACCAGCCTGGGTTGATTGGAGGCTTCCAGCTACTCTGAAAGCGAACACAGTGGTGTTTTCAATGTGGTCACTGCCGGGCTGTTGATCCGTGGGTTCCATCAAGGCAGGTGGGCCACCGGGTTCCACCCTATCCTCAGATGGAGCGTGTACCAAGAAATTTCGAAAACCGTCCCCAGGTCCCCAAGCATCACCTATAGCCACAGTATCTTCATCCCGTTTCGGAAAAAAAAAACGTAGACTCAACTGGGGGATGCTCAAGTTACATGGAATGAATGTGGTATGGTCAGGAAAAATCCACAAGAAAAAACGAACCCCCCAAGGGATGACATGGGATGACTGTCCCCTTTTCTGATGGTTCTATACTATCCCCAAAGAATTCCTAAAAAAATGAGTATAGCAACCCATCACCTTTGATTGTCTTTAGAATCCAACTTTTGACCTTAGCACATCGACATGATCAAAATCATGTTTCTCAAAGATCAATCGATTGGTTTTCTTCAGAACATCTGCACAGGAAACCTTCGTTTTTCGCCTCAAAATATCGAAACGTTGCCCGGTTGCCCAAAAAGGCGTTCCAGCGCCTGACATGAGCTTCAGCACAGCCGAGACGTTATCGTCCTGGGATGATGGCTATGTGGTGACAGCGATTTCTCGTGGCCGTAATGAGATGCCTCAACGAATGGCGATTTGGGTGAATTGATGCCAATCCAGCCGTAATCAGGTATTTCAAATCACTGGCACAAGCAATAAAAAAAATGTGGTAAATTATGGGATTTGGGTGAATTGATGCCTCAACGAATGACGCCAATCCAGCAGTAATCAGAATTTATCCTGAAAAAAATGGAGCCTCGGATTCGGTTCTCAAGGTGAAATTGACAGGGTCATCAGCTGGAGTCCTGTAAAAATTGTTGGAAATCATCGGAAATATCAAGGATTTACTGATGACTCTTCCCTTACCATTCAGCAACTGACCAGAAAACTTGCACCGGGAATCTGTTCATCAGGACGGATTATGGGAAACTTCCCCCGAATGAGGATGGCTTGAAAGGGGATCCTCATTGAACACGGTTTCTGTACCCTCTGGTAATTTAACATAGCTATTGAAAATGGCCCATTTATAGTTGATTTACCTATTAAAGATGGTGATTTTCCATTGCTATGTTAGTTTACCAGAGGGTAGGTGATATTCCATGTTTGCTTGGTGAATTCCCAACATAGCGAAGGAAATCCAGTTCGCTTCGCGGCTTCCTTCGGAACTGATCTATAAACCCTGGATTTCCATGCCTTGTGTATGTTTACTGGAGGGTAGGATGGGTATCTTAGCAAAAAATCACCTCATCTATCATCTATCCCCAATGTTTGATGTTTAGTTCAAAAAACAATATGGTTATATATATATATACATATATATATATACATATATATATATCCGAGTACATTTCCATGATACTGTATATCCCTTTTTTATGGTTAATCATCATGATTTATATTCCAAGTATATACAACCATTTTATATCCCATCAATGATCTTCCAATATATATATAACCAATATTGGTTAATCAATGATTATTCCGGGAATTCGCAAAAAACCAGCGCCTCTTCTGGAGCCTCAACCACCTGGAGAACTGGGAACTGGGAAATCCTCGATTTCAAAAAATGCCTCGAACAAAAACTGGGTCCATGTATAGATCATCTACCTATCAGCCACATCTTATTGGATTTATAGATAATCTAGCTATCAAACAATGGTATTTTGTAAATCAAATCTGAATCAGTCTGAAATCCCCCATAAAAAAACTGGAGCTCTTTTTTTGGCGAACATCTTAGAAGCGAGGGATTTTTCACCCAAAGAATCCCAAGGTTTGTAAACCATGGCCAGATGTTTTTAGCTTCATCCCACCAGGAAAGTTGGGATCTTGGAATCTTGAGATACCTTGAGATACCCGGCCCGGTAAACGTTTACAGTTTGCGAACTCGAAGCCATGGCCCAGTCGTAGTAAAAGTGAATTTTCCCATGAAAAATGGTGGATCTTTCCATAGCTGTGTTGAATTGCCAGAGGGTACCCTGAAGGAAATTCAGTGTGACAACAAAAGACATCATATGGAAACATGTCGTTTGTTGGTTTCTGGCTCAAATCAGGATGAGGAATAGCAAATCGAATAGGAAACAGCTGGCATCCAATTTGGATTTTCTCCCATGAATGACGAGCGTTTGATGGCGCAAGCAGGGGATTAAATTCAAATGGAAATTCATTGCAATAACAGAGTTGCTATCCCTAGACACTGCAAAATTGAGGGAAGATTAGTTTCCACTAAACTTGGAGGGTGTGTCTGGAATGGTACCATCTGGGTCACTCGAGGCATAGGTCCCCAACCATGGATGATATCCCCCTTATATATCGTTATATTAGCAATAGTTCAGGTTCACAATGGGAATATATAATGTTTAAGCCTTAAGCAAGGTTATTCTGAGTGATCATCCCCATAGAGGTTATTGTCCCCATATTTTTTTTTCGCCCTGCTGAGAAAAACAGGTTTCGGTGAACCATGGAAAAATACAAAAAATCCATCCCATCATTGTGGTTCGCAAATAGATAGCTACAGTGCCCTTAAGTTAAGTATGGATCATCATAATCCCCAATAAATGAGGTAGTATACCCTCCTTTAAACCAAAAAGATGTGGTTTTCCCCACTAGCTGTTCATTTGCAAATCACCAAATCCGAACAGGTTTTACACCATGGTTTAACCCATGTTTGTTGATGTTTGTTTATCCTACCTGGGGGTGTTCCAGTTGTATATTAGGATATTATATATAGTAACTATAGTTTAGTAGGGGCTTATATCCTAATTTATCCATAAATATGCATATAACTGGTTTCAAACATATACAACAATCCATCAGTATCTCAAGTTACCTGTTTTTTTTCCGTGGTTAATCGTTATTGTTCCTAATTTATGGCGCTTATAGGACACCATGGCAGCCATAGGAACCCCAATAGCCCCAGCCGCCCAGCCTTGGGCTCAGTGGTGTTGGACTCTACCACCTCAGCCTCCACATTGGCCTCGGAAGTTCAAAAAAATCTGGCTGATTTGGATGGGATGAGTCTGAAAAAATCGGATATCTTTGATGGGACATGATTCTCATTACGTTGATTCTTATT